GCCATTGCCCACATACCATTGAATCGATTGAAGCACTCAATGTCCCAATGTTGATACGCTGCTAAGACAACTTCAGTGTCACCAGTGGTTGCAAAACGATAACCGTATGAACTCAACTCTTCCCGAAGCTCTTTAAAATTGTATATTTCACCATTAAAAGTAACGGTGAGTTGGTCTCGCTGAAAGGGTTGAACAGAAGCATCGCTTAAGTCCTGAATAGACAGCCTGGTGTGTCCCAGCATCCCTTTATTTTGATTGAAAATCATACTCCCTGATGCATCAGGGCCGCGATGCTTAATTTTGTCCAGTACCTTGCCAAACTCATACCCCTGCGGAATGGGAGCGCGACCGATAAAACCTGCAATACCACACATATTTCTGTTACGTTCGTCCTTTTGCCTAACTTATATCGCTATCATTATATTTATCTGTCGTTTGCAAGGGATATTTACTGAATTTGCAAAATGCCTTTGATATTTATTTCGTCACGTTTGTTTAGAGTAATCATACCGGTAAATATTGAATCATCCCTTACAGATACTAGTGAATCTCTAAATTCTTCCAATGCTGATAATTGATTATCATCGCAAAACCATAAGACATGTGGGACTAACTTTTCATAAATCCGCGTTTTTAAACCAAGTGTTCCGAGACTATTAGGGTTAAAATTCTGCTTTTTGTTTCCTGCTCTGAGATTCAAAGCTGCATAATCTGAGAACAAAATGCATTCCGTGATGTCTTCTTCAAATAAGCTCAGTTCTGAGCTTATTTGTGATGCGGATTCGGATTGCAAAATATTAAAGGCATTTAACACTACGTCACAGTTATGTTGAATTGTACTCTGTAAAAGTGCGGTTTTGGCCATAAAAAACAAATCCACTTCTGTTTTAATATAATGCTTGCCGGGATTTTCCCCCAAAAACTGAATAAAGGTAATCTTAGGTTGCTTGCTAACATACTTTTTAAGGTTTGTAGCTTCCTCAGGGGGCAGTAAAATGAAAGTTTGCTGGCTTCCTTGGATTGGTATTTCATGTCCATCGAGGAATTTGCTGAGTGGGTTGTGCTTAGTTAATGTTTTGTTGCTATGGTAAATGACATTGGTGAAATTCTGCATAGTCGGCAGGGAGTTATAATCACAAATGACTAGTTCT